ACATAGAATGAGGGGAAGGAGAGGACCAATAACGAAAATAAAATACAACCGCTAAGCAGAATCAAGCAATTCACTCGCTTGGGGCGGGGAGATACAAAATAAATTATATCAATAGCTGATCCAGTCAAGATAAAAAGAGGGTGGAAATAAAAACAAACTGGGGAGGTTGCGAATCTTGACATGTATCATAACAAAAATTCCCTGATAGCAAACCGTGGCCAACAACTACTCACATTAACTAGGTAAACAAAAGAGTCTAGCGTTATCAGGGGAGGAGTCCAACAGGAAACCACTATATTGTTTGAAAAGACGCCTAAAAGAGAAAATCCAGACTGGGTCCGTTCACAAAAATTAACCTCGCTGCTTTTGACCATCCTTTGCCAATTTGAGCAGTAAAATGTTTAATCAATCATTGAATAAATTCAGACACATTTCCAAGTTCATGAACATGTTTTATGGTCTAATTTAAACGTAGTTTATCGTAGTCTATTTAGATGTGTTATAAATATTTTTTTTTTTTAAGTATTTTCAATGATTTCTTCAAGTAATCAGGCTTTGACGTGAAAATATTTTCGACAAACTCTTATATCTGATTTTCATTCGAATGAGATTTTCTCATAAAGCGCTATGCTGCAAAGTCAGATAAATATGGTGAGTGGAGTAGAACAGAGCAACCGAGTTCTAAATATTTCTCTTGTTTCATTCTTACTCTAGATAAACTTGCGTTGACATGAAAGAGAACAATATTTTTTTTCTATAGAAAAGGATTTTTTTTTGTTTGTTATTACTAAACTTATACGGCATTTTTTTTTCTTTGTTCTTACTAAAATTATACGGACAGGTTACAGCTGATCGTATAAATGTACATTTAGCATTTCATTGCGTTTTAAGAATTACAAATGAATAATGCCTCACCGACATTACATTTTGTACATCGAACTCAACTTTTGTGCTCAGTGGTGTACTGGGTCGAAAATTTCTACTAGGATAACTTGTAAAATGGCCTAGTCAAAAGGACCCATTTAATCCTAAAATGTTTTATCAAACAAGGAACTGGGGATATCTATTATCTACCAAAATAAATTATAGCATCAAAGAAGCCTTATTTAAATCTTCCCAGCATCGACGCAGTATTTTTCTTTTTTTACTTTTTTTAGGTTATTTCTAAAATGATTAATCATCACTTTGGGACCCACTCGTAAATTTTTCGGTATACAGGTCGGTTCAGGCTGCCACTCTTACGTATATTAGTTTACTCAAAAGATATTCTTTTTATACTTTTTTGCATTGATTGTTATTTTGCTATAAACATGTATTGTTAGTCATTTTATTATAAAAATTACCTCTACTGACTTTATTTGTGTGGGGGAAGAAGGTCAATATTTACTCATAGCTGAGACCCATGTGCTACCACCCGGCTCAGGATGGACATGGTAACAACAGTAGTTAAAAGCTGGCTCCACGTTCCTCAAAACCTCCAGTCTCCCTTAATTTTTGGCATCCAAAAACTGATCATAAAAAATCGCATTACATTCAAGTATATACGGTACCCATAAAGTTGTAAAATAAAATAAAAATAGTGGTATATCGATTTTCATTTTGCGTTTAACATAAAGATTAAGTAATTGTTTCATTAATTGGTTTTCGTTTTTTACGGCTTATCAAATGTTTCAATTTATGTAAAGACAGAAAATGTTTTAGAGTTTAAGAATATTTTTTGAGATAATAATGGTTTAGTGACCCAATTTTTATTAATTAATCCATACCTAGTAGAAGAAGAGATGGATTCATATATTTCTCAAGGGTATTTGCGCTTATGTGAATATTAACTAACTCAACGGGAATCGGAACTCAGATCTCCAAATTAACAATTTTGAGCTATTATCTATTTCACCACCCGCACCTTCTAGTTTACAGCACCTGAAGAGAAAGGTGAAAAGATCAAATGTAGAGACAGAATTATCATACCGACAGTTGATTTCATTCTCCCCAGCATTAATATTGAACAAACTATAATTAAATATAAAATATATAAGATTGGAGACGCAGGCCAATTAAAATTTATGAAATATTCGCCCGACCTTGTGTTAATGAACTCTCCATTGAGGAATGCTGTTAATGGTAAAATTTTGTGAGGTCATCGTGGTTGACATTTTATAAGAATTTCGTTATTTCTGACTTCTGTCTTGTTTCTTTTAATATTGTTCACCCATTACAAGCCCTAAGTGCCACTTAATATAGAGGTTTACTGAATGGAGATTTTGTAAAGGTGGATAAGGAAAAGAGGAGAGGGTTGTATATTAAGAGGATATGTAGGATAGATGAAAGTTGATCTTTGACTTGAATGTATAAAATTGTAGTAATCAGAAAAGCACCCACTCGGAAGTTCGTAGCACATTACAACAGTTCTTGGGAAGAAGCTGTCTGAATGGAAATTCTTCTTTACCAAGAAATATAAAGGGAATAAAAATGAGTCGACTGTGTGTGCGTGACATAAACG